TACCTTTCAACCAGTTCTTGATCCAACCATAGAAATATAACCACAGAAATACAGAATGGTAGGGCTTGGAAGGGACCTGGGCATCATCTAGTCCAGTCCCCCCTGCCACAGGGGGTTCACCTAGGGCAGGTTAGACAGGAATGCACCCAGGGGGGTTTTGAAAGTCTCCTCTTGGCCACAAGGCACACTGCTGGCTCATGGTTAACTTCTCCACCAGGACTCCCAGGTCCTTCTCTGGAAAGCTGCTTCCCAGCAGGCCAGCCCCTCACCTGCACTGGTGCCTGGGGTTATTCCTCACTGAGTGTACACTCCATCCTTTCATCCAGGTCATTGATGAAGATGTGGAACAGGACTGGACCCCAGTCCTGGGGAACACCACTACTTACCAGCCTCCAACTAGGCTTCACGTCCCTGATCACCCCCCTCTGGCCCAGCCACACAGCCAGTTTTCAGTCCACCTCCCTGCTCATCCAGCCCTCAGTGAGGATGTCATAGGTGACAGTTGTCCAAAGCCTGACTGAAGGCAAGGGGGTAGATGCAAAGTGTGCTGGATTGCAGGCTCTAATGCAGTCTCTTCTCCAACAGGCAGTGGGAGTGAAATCCAGTTTCTCTCAGAAGCACAAGATGACCCTCAGAAACGAAAACCTGACATCAGAAAAGCCAAGTTATTGCTTGGCTGGGAGCCTGTGGTACGTACAGCTGCCTCACTGTGCCTGTGTGCAGGGGGCAGAGGGGAGTGGGGGAGGACCCCAGGGGAACAGTGCTTTTCAGGAATCAAAGTATCTGCTTCAGAGTCTCCAGGACAGCTGGCTCAAGGCTGTCTCTCATGAGTTGCCCTAGCTCACCATTCAGGAACTGTTGGGTGAGACTGTATGGCCTGTGCTGTGCAGAAGAGCCTGTTAGCATCTGTGGTGGAATTACAGAATCACAGTGTGTCAGGGGCTGGAAGGGACCTCTGGAGATCCAGTCCAACCCCCTGCCAGAGCAGGACCATCCAGTCTAGGGCAGGTCACACAGGAACACATCCAGATGGGTCTGAAAAGTCTCCAAGGAAGGAGATGCCACACCCTCCCTGGGGAGCCTGTTCAGTGCTCTGGAACCCTGACAGTACAGAAGTTCTTCCTCATGTTGAGGTGGAACTTCTTGTGCTCCAGCTTGTGTCCATTGCCCCATGTCCTATCGCAGGGCACAAGTGAGAAGAGGTTGTCTCTTCTTTCCTGACACCCAGCTCTCATAGATTTATACACATTAATTAGATCCCCCCTAAGTCTTCTCTTCTCCAGACTAAACAGCCCCAGGTCTCTCAGCCTCTCTTCACCAGGCAGGTGTTCCAGTCCCCCAGTCATCCTCTTAGCCTCCACTGGACTCTCTCCAGTAGATCTCTGTCCCTCTGGCCATGG